TGTTTTGTTACACACTTTTGGGATGAAAACTATTGAATTTAGCCCTTGTCTAATTTGTAAATACAAAGAAAAAGTTATTTAATGGAATTCATAATTTAAGTTATAATATGGCACAATGATATTTAATATGAAAGACAATTTAATACCATTTCAAAAGAAAGGTAATACAAGACCAAATGCCACAATGTATCAATATGAACATTTTTTGATGATTATTAAAATGATGTACCATTGCCATGAGAATTACTCTTTATTGAGATTTATTTTACAACTGACACATACAACAGAAATAGGTGATTCCCTGAGGATGTCTAGTCTCATTTAGTCAATACCGTGACAATTTTTGTTTCATATTCTCTATAAAGGCACATTCAGTTCTGACCTCTAAAACTGAATAAATATTAGTGAGGTCTTTGTATTTATTCCAGCATGTCAGTTGATGCTGAGTAAGTTTTGACAGCGTTATCAGATGAAGTTTTCCTGATGACAGATGTTTGGATTGACAACATTTAGGAAACCTGATAGGTGTAGAGTAATCAACCTTCATGTGTTAGGTTATGCTTTGAAATAATCACAAACAAATATAAATAGTACATTTTCTCAGTACCAAAAACCTCAGTGCGGCGTTTATGCCATTAATCTGTCGAATATACTGCATATTTTGTCTAGATTACTATAAATGCATTGTGTGTGTGTGTGTGTGTGTGTGAAAGAGAGCCTAAACTACCTTGCTATGGAAACATTGAAGCAGGAGATAAGAACATCCTGACTTGTGAAATGGAGCAGTGGGCGTGATTTTGGTTTTCCGCTGAGTTTGACCGTCAGATGAAGAGAATATAAGGTGAGATGTGGTCATTTACACACCACTCCAGTCAGAACATAATTCCTTTGCTCAGGTAAGCACATTATATTATTCTGTTTTCTATTGAATCTCATTTTTGGTTTGCATTGAATGTACCTTTTTGCCCTTAAACTGTTGGTTCAGCCAAAAATGAATATTCTGTCATTATTTACTTACCCTGTTGTACATCTTTTTGGCATCTAACAACAAATTATCAGTTTTTTTCCCCATACAATGACAGTAAATGGTGATCACATGTGTTCTTGGTCCTCATCCACTTTCACTGTATATGGAAAAAGAAGCTTAGACGTTCTGTTTAATAGCTCTAAGTCATGGATTTGGAATATGATGGTTATAAGTAAATGGTTCAGAATCTTCATTTCTGAGTGAAATACTTTAATACCCCAAAATGGATATTTGACTACTAAAAAGGACTAACCTGTCAATTACTTTTTTGTTTTCTAGCCACCTAACTATCCCACTCCCAAAGTCATGGAATCTGCCATTAACGTGCTCGTCTCCCAGTTCAAGACTTACGCAGGGAAAGATGGCTCTGTGAACACTCTGAGCAAAGATGAGTTTCAGAGCCTGGTCACTTCCCAGCTCCCAAACTTTGTAAAGGTAACCTTTTGAGTTATTACAGTATGGTTTGTCCACTTCATATCTATATTCCACAATTCAGGTCTACGTACTTAAATATAAAGGTCCATTTAGAACCCATTTAGTTGTTTAGAAAATCATCTGCTTTAAAGAATAAGGAATCTTAAAAAACTATAATGTAATGTTAAGAACTTTTTTTTTTAAATCCCCACAGAACCATAAAACCAACTCAAAATGGTTCTTAATAAGAAGAGGAGTGTCTGCTGACTCTCAGGTGCTGCAAAGAACCTCTATTTTTAGGAGAGAACCTCTATTTTTATATAGCTACAGTAAATGGTTATCTTCTACAGCATGCTAAACTTTATTATAGAATTTACTGTAGAATATAAAAAAATAAAAAAACTTTTTTTTTTTATCTGTGACCTTTTATCACAATATTTAGAAAATGAAATTGAAGATTGTTTAAAAAAATAAATAATGGTCTTCATTCCAGTGCTTAATTAGTATGTGTTCTGAAAAAAAATGAACCAAAATGAATACGAATGCTGAATTTTACTAAATAATAATCTTATAGAATTCTTTTACATTTGTTTTACATCTGTGACCTATACTCACATTATTTAAATTATTAAATTAAAGATAATTTTAATAAATAATGGCCTCATTTACAGTGTTTGTTTAGTAGGCTATTCTGTTTTCTGAGAAGAATGAATCCAATAGGATAAGAGCACCATTTCAGAGGTCTGGTGCGAGTTATTAGTTAACCACATCCCAGTCCTCTAAAGAATTCCTTGTGAGTCACGTGTTTGTGATTTTGTAGAGGAAATTACACAAATCCTTCACTCTCAAGTCAGAGACAGACCTTATACTGCTAGTGAGTATGAAAACAAACTGGCTGCTTTCAGCATGTTTACATCCAAACCAGATCACTAAAGCTGGATACAATAGAAAAATGCCACATCAGAGCATTTTCAGTTTGGCCCATCCAGAACAGGAACTCCCCCCTAAACTAATAGGTCAGCAGAAAAGAATGCGCAGTACCACTGACAACCACTAGATGGAGACGCTATCATTGCAAGTGCGTATAAATGCCTGTCCATCTTGTCCTCTCCTACAGAATGCCTCTGACCCAGCCACCATTGATCAGCTCATGAAGTCATTGGACGAGAATAACGACGGAGAGCTGACGTTCCTGGAGTTCTGGCAGCTGATTGGCAGTGTGGCGAGCCAACATGGCGGCTTTAGCCAATAAAGAAACCTGAAGTATTAGTCAACTTGAAGAAAATCACTTTAATTTTACCTTGTGACTTTCTTATGTAATTATAACATTGTGCAGTTAATGATTGTCCAAAGCAGGTGACGGCAAATAAAAGAAAGAGTTGTTTTATTCTCTAGGTAATCCTGCCTTGCCTCTTTATTGAGCATGTTGTATAAGATTATCTGCACTCTCTCCCATTCTTTTGTGTAGACAGAATAACGAATCTGATTTAATAGCATCATTTTATGGTAACCCAACACCAACCTGAGGCCATCGACTATCCGATTGCACAGTGGCTTAGTTTTAGACACGAACAATTTCAGCTCCAGACAGCAGTCAGTTACGAGACATCCGTATTGACATATTCAATCTCCCACACAATATGAAGTCGGTGGGTGCCACCAGTTGCCTTGCTTACAGGTGTGGCTCGGGGGAAGGGAGTTGGTCTCTTTTGGATAATAAGGGAGATTTAGATCTTATTTGCAAGTGCAAATATATGAAACTGAACACAAAAATTCAGAAGAATTTTGAATTGCCTGAAGAACATTGGTTATCGATGTTCAATCACCTGAAAAGATGCATTGAGATTTTCATTTTAAACCCATCATACTGGTTTGATGAGGTGGCAACGGGTCTGAGAGTTTCACCCTTGCTGAACCGGTCACAGTTCCTGTGGGGTGCCTACAAAAACATTAACAAAAATATATTTAAGAAAATATATTAATATTTTTTAATAAATATTTAAGAAAAATATATTGAAGACAAGTCATAGGTGAACTTTGTAGCATTATCAGAGCTGTGAGGCATGACCATAGTCCACACAAAGTGACGCCAGTCAATACAAACAACTTTACATAGGCGGTGCCTCTTGTAAACACAGATAATCATAGTAAAGAGGGCACTGGGATATAATTCATTAGCCTATATGTCTCCCCTGAGGCCTGTTAAAGGCTGTCTGAATATTTATCGCAATACAATGCTGTTAGAAAGAATTCTGACAAATTCATTCCTGGGGCATTAAAAAAATGTATAAATGAAGCACTGTCTCAATATTGCATGTTTAGTGCATACCAGTGTCAGGGGCTATTATTTGCCTCCCGGAATTCATTTTCAGATTTATTTTCTAACTATACATAAACATGTAAAGTGTCATTTTTATGACACGCACTTTAATTGATTAATAAAAATTCAAAAGCAATATCAAAACACAACCTGTGTAGTTTTAGAAAACTAAAGAAATAATTGGTCGCCTCTATCTCTTTCCCATTATGGAAGATTTGTATCCTGCTAACCCAGGGGTGCCCAAACTCGGTCCTGGAGGACCGGTGTCCTGCAGAGTTTAGCTCCAACCCTAATCAAACACACCTGAAGCAGCTAATCAAGCTCTTACTATGCATACTAGAAACTTTCAGGCAGGTGTGTTGAGGCAAGCTGGAGCTAAACTCTGCAGGACACCGGCCCTCCAGGACCACGTTTGGGCACCCCTGAGCTAACCTCTCTCTCTCTCTCTCTCTCTCTGTGTGTGGGGGTTAATTTATTTTATTTTGTAGCTACCAGCTAGAATACTTTACATAGGCGGTGCCTCTTGAGCTAACCTCTCTCTCTCTGTGTGTGTGGGGGTTAATTTATTTTATTTTGTAGCTACCAGCTAGAAACCACCTACTATGTTTCAGAGGCACTAATATATCACTTTATACGACTGTAATGCTTTAGAATATATACAATATTGTAACCGGTAAAACAATTTTGTCCCGAGGCCTGGTTAATTTCTGACACTCCTGCAAACATTGTGCAGGTAAGGGTTAAAGTTTTTGTACTTCCCACTAAAGCCCCAGACAAAACTCACCGTCCACTGCCATGATTCCCAGTGGGATTTCTGGCGTGAAACTACCAGAAATCCCTGTTGATTTTACAGCAGTAGAAAACATTAGAAATGTCTTATTTAATCAAGTCAAAACTCAAATGTTCTATTTAAAGTAGCCAAATAAGTTCGTCCCCTAGTTCCTCTCCTCAAGGTACACGCCCTTTCATTTGTCAGGGGCCAAAAAAAAAAACGTTAACGAAAAAAAAAAAAATCACGGAAGAGATTCGGCAGCGGTTCGAGTCTGACAAGTTTTTTTTTTCTTTTCTTTTGAGGTAGGAAAGAAAAAGGAAAGGGAAAAAAAGAGGTTTAACTGCAGCAACTGCGAACTGTCAATCCGTGCTCTCCGCATTTTAGGGTAAGTGCTCTAAAATAGGTTTCTTTCACCTTGTAGGCCTATTTAAACACAACTTTGTAGTTTTGAACATGTAAGAGTTTTCGTTGCGTGTCAACGCCACGTTTTAGGAACACCCTTCGAGCGTCCTCAGCCAGATGAATCTGAAAACATCTCGTTTTCCCACAGTTAATACGTCTTTTTAATGAGTATACCGAACTATATACAGGTAAATATAACGTTACTAATGTGGTTTGATTAAGAGTGCAAGCGGGAACAATTACAATGCCGTTGATGGAAAACTTATGTGGGTGCTTCTGTTGAATAGCATTGGCATTTTAAACTTATCTCAAATTAAATTAATCTTTTAAACTTAACAATGATTATTGTTAAGTTTACGTTTTTTAAATGTATATTAAATTGAATATAATCTTTTAAGATTACCGTGTTGACGTTATTTAAAATATTTAACCAATTTAAAATATAAAAACAAATGGGCTATAAATAAAAAAAATCATACATATTAGGATACAAATGCTAAATGTTTATTTTTTATATTCATAATATAACTGTAGTAAAATTAAGTGTAGATGCTTGTAGATTATGACATTGAGTCGTGCCAACAGCAAATCAAGTCCAAGTCAGTACACTTGAGTCGTTTAACAAAAAGGGTGTTTTATCCACGCGTGATTTTCAGGGTGAAGAAAACAAGAACTACCTCGTGATTGTTCCCCACGAGTTTTTATGCACTGGCGAAGTTGCTCCTGTGTGAATTTTTAATGGCGCACGCGAGCGGCGGGTATTGTCTTTACTGCGATAGAGCGCGCGCGTATCACGTTCGCCAGTTTGGAAACGCAAACCTTTCAATCTCTTTTGCGCATTGGAGAGAAACGGTAGAGTGCACGCTGTTAAACTCCATATGTCTGTGTCCCCTTTTCTTTTTTTGGAGTTTGTTTGCATGGATTTATTTATTCATTTCGCCCAGGAACAGCACAAGGTCATGTCATGTTTGGAGAGTCATTGAGGTAATGAAAGATCCCTCTTCATTACTTATTATTAACCCATCCACGTGCTGTCTGTCTGAGGGAGTTTTGGGTTAAAGCTCGAGACTGTCTAGGGTAGCAAGCGCTACATAATTCATATGACTTCACGACTGGCACTGGATAGGGTTGAGACCCAGGGTTGAAAGGGTCAACCGGATCAATGAACGGTGCCTATAGTCACTAGAAATATGATTGTGGAGACAAGACTTGTGACAACAGCACAGCATTGACTTCAATAGAGCAGCAGCCCTTTGATCTAGGGCGCATGTAGACATAGTTTGTACTGTGGATAAGGGCTGACTGTATCTGGACTGTACAGTAGGGGCTGTGTCTCAAACCTATAGAGTATTGTGCCGCCTACCTAGATGTTCCCTTTCAGCTAGGATGTTACTTTCTGTGTACACAGGTGCTGGTGCAGTAAACTGTGAGTTTATAGGCCTTAAAAGAAATCTTTTTATGATAATGCTGTCTAGGTAGGCAGCTCACTAAGTTTTAAAACACAGCCTACACTGTAAAAAAAAATAAAAAATCAGTAAAAAAAACGGCAGCTGTGGTTGCCGGAATTTTACCGTAAAAAATACGGTAGCAACGTTTTAGGTTTTAAATTAAATTTACAGTTAAATACCGTAATTTCATTAACTGATATAATGTTAATATACCAACCTATTGAAGTACTGAAATCTGTTTTGTACCTTTGTAATACACTGATAACCACCAAATGCAGGTGGTGATGAGAAAGTCACATGATGAACCAAAGCCCATCACAAGCAGCTTTTAAATAATGCAGCCCCTCGCGGACGACTGCCGCGCAGAAACGAAACCAAAACACAAAATAAAATCCAGGCCTGGTCCTCTCTCCTCTTTCCCTGTCGTCACTCCTCCTTTGTATCCTTCCGGA